CACATGAGATAGTGAAGATTTTATGTTGCTTTCTCAACCGACTCTATTGCAAAAGAACCAAGCTAGCCAGCTTGGTCTCCCAAGATATATTTGTGCAAGGGTTCGGATAACATGCAGTGTGTTCTGGGTTCTCCCTCTGCCCAACCCCAATTATTTGAACAAAGATGTCCTTTTGATTAATTTCTACAAGTTTCAGCTTTACTTAGGAAAGTCATCTGCTTTGGGTATTTTTCTAGGAAAAGCAACATGTTGAATCTGAAAAAAATTTTCACTTGGACAATATTTATCAAAAAGTAAATTATTAGGAGAGTCACATATTAATGACCTAAATGGAGTCCTATTATATCCTTAGAATATATCTGGTGTAATTGAGCAGTGCTACCTAAGAACCTGCTAATTTTAAACTCAGACCACAAGTTAACAAATTTGCTAATACCCTTAAATCTAATTCCTGGCAATGAATTATATATATATTTTGTCTTTCCATCATTTACACCAAAGTTTTTAGAAATTCTACTAATAGTTTGATAGTTTTTCTACCAAATTTAAACAGAAATAATTCCAAAGTATTAAACAGAAGATTTGATTTTTAGCTTTTATTAGCCATAGTTTTTATATCTGAGACACTTCTAATACCTCTTGCATCCTCATCAGAATCTAAACAGTTCCAAAGACTATGTACAAATACTCAGCTTAAACACCTCCTTCCTACCTGGTCCCCAAAGCAAAAGATGGTAATTGTTTGGGGACAATTTCTCTTCAGGAGACCATCTGGATCTACTCCTTGGGGCAGCACAACAGACCTTTGTTCTTGATTATCTTACCGGTTCCTCCAGTTGGATGCATCACATAGAAAACTCTCCTATATGAAAAACTAGAGGAATTCAGGATCAAAATATGGGCCTTTTGCATATATTTTATTGGAGTCCAAATTCATATTAGATTTCACAGGATATAACATACCTGGACCTATAAGGCTATGAAACGCTTTTGCTTTTAGCGCTATGAATTTCTCAACAAGATTTGAACATTTCTGCTACAGTAAACATTTAGCTGCACTAAAGTAGTTCCCACAAGGTAGCTCACTGTGTTTCCATCAACATTGAGCATTCTCTTCACTCTGGAAGAAGGTGAAAGTCTATGACATGGTAAGTGGGAGTGGGGAGTCCAGACTTCACTTTCCACTTTCATTTTTCAAGAGCAAACCTGTTATTGTCAAGTAACTCTGAAATTCCACTTTGAGATGAAACTGAAATTGAGCTCTGAAAACCTCCATTGAAAAGCACCAAATTACAGATGAATTTATGTTTAAATACCAGACTCACTTGCTTTCTGATAATTCCTTATAGATGAAGAGAGGGAAATGTGTGCGTGGAATCTGGGATGACCATTTAGCCCATCCCTCTTTCTCCAGTCATAACCTTATTGATTTCCCCAACACTATGGCATTTTATATGCCATAAGTAGTATGTGTATCTTCTATTGGCAAGTTGTTACAGGCCATACAACAAAGAGTAATGTTTAAATGATCTTCCTTTCATTTAACCTAGCTAAAAATATTGAATATTTCAATTATCTAAACATGATGATACACTGTTGTATTGAATATGAATGTTTAGAATGAAATTAGAAGGTATATCACAGATTTCCCATCAAAGACCATACCAGATGGCTTTGGAAGGAAAAGACAGTAAGAAGCATGGCTAGTTTGGGAGAAGGAGCATTTCAATTCCAATAAAGCATTTTGGGAAGTATGAGATTTTTATAAATCTCCTACTATAAAACCCTTTCTTAAATGAACCCAAATATTTGTTTTACACTGAAATATTTATTGTTAAATTACTTAGTTCTCATAATCAGAAGATAGAACATTTCTTTTAAAACAATGACTACTTTTAATCTTATTTTAAAGCCAATTCTAAGTCTTAGTCAATTAAATAGGCTCTGCTAACAGGTACATTCCAGGCTACAAAGACAGCAGATAGGAAATGACCAACTCAGTGAGTGCTATGAGAGAGGACAGTGTTGATCATTTCCTTCTGGCCTCTCCATGTCCACTCTGAGTTCTTCTCCTATCCTACTCTGCCCTGTAAGGCTGATACATGTGGACAGCACTGACAGGTGCCCTTGCCCACAGGCTTTCAGTTGGTTCTACCAATAAGAGGCACTAGCAGTTGACAGAGGGTGGGAAGAAATAAAAATGAGAGAGCTTTCTCTCAGCTCCACCCCTGCCAGGTCATGGTGGGCTGGCCTAGTCTCTATACCAGACAGTAATTCTTTCTACACAGAGACCCTCAGTGGGTTTTTGAAACTGTTCTTCCCTGTTACTTTTTCAGAGTAGTAACTGTGCCCACTATTATTAGACCCTAGGTCCTGTACAATTTATTTTTCTAAGCCCCATCCTATCTTTGAAACATTTCTATACTACACTCAACTCAATTATGAAGTTTGAATGTGCCTTTTCTTTCTTGCCGATAAAAAGACCAGAGGGCTCATGGACTAGTAGTACAATCACATTCTCAGAAATGTGGCAGGCTCAAGGTCCTTTTGCACAAACTTTTAAAAAATATAGACTTCATGTTTAATAAAAGTTTTAGGTTTGTGCAAAATTGAGAGGAAGATACAGAGATTTCTCATATATCCTCTGTTCCCATCCATGCATAGCCTCCCCCATCATCAATATCCCCCACCAAGTGATACCATGCTTTCACAGAAAATGAATATAGAAAAAATATAATGATTGATGCATGCCATTATACATTCATCCAAACCCATTCAATGTACATTACCAAGAGAGAACCCTAATGTAGGCTGTGGACTTCGGCTGATAATCACGTGTCAATGTAGGTTCATCAATTATAACAAATGTACCATTCTGGTGGGGGATGTTGATAATGGGAGGGGCTATGCATATTTAGGGGCAGAAGGTATATAGGAAATCTCTGTACTTCCTCTTAATTTTGCTGTGAACCTAAAACTGCTCTAAAAACACAAAGTCTTTAGAAAAGAAAAACATTGACAATTTATTTTAAATTTCAGGAGTTTATAAGAAATTCAATGATGTTGGGGTGCCTAAGTGGCTCAGTCAGTTAAGTGTCTGGCTTTTGGTTTCAGCTCAGGTCATGATATTGTGGTTTCATGAGTTCAAGCCCTGCATCAGGCTCTGTGCTAGCAGCATGAAGCCTGCTTGGGATTCTCGCTCTCCTCTTTCTCTGCCCCTCCACTACTTGCATTGTCTCTTCCTCTCTCAAAATAACAAATTAATTTTAAAAAAAAGAAATTCAGTGATATCTATATTTCCACTATGGAATAAAATCTTCTCCCTAAATGAGAGAAAATAAGGAAGAATTGAGAATAAACCCAAAGGGATATACAAAACCAACAAATTCCTGTTTTCCTGTTGGTGGAAGTGTTTTTAACAAAACTAGTTTCGATGGTCTGAAAACAAGAGAGAAGGCTCTGAGCATGCTGCTTCGCCATGAATCCTAGGACCCAAGAATATCTGGAATACAAGGTATCTGAGATATTTCCTTACATCCCTTTCCAGTTCTTGAATACCTGCATTGGCAATTCTGCCAAAGGATGGCTCAGCCTTTGTGAGCACATTTCTGGTACCTGGGAGCAACCTATAGCTTGAGGCAACTCAGTCCAATGTGAACTGATCTAATAATTTAGAAAACTCTTCCTTCCATTGAGCCTCAATCAGCCACCCTGTGGCTGCCACACACTGAATCTCGTTCAGCCCTGGAGGGCGGCATGGAGTGAGTCTAATCTGTCTTCCCCTGACAGCCTTTGCAAATGTGAAGACAGCAATCATGTTCACCCTACATTTTTTCATCCCCAGGCCCAAATCCCTAGTTCCCAGTGGTGGATGCATGATCCTCTGGACATACACAATATTAATTTTATCAATGTGCTGAACTGAAAGTTGTGTTTGAGATGTGACCCGACCTAGCACAGAATGGTGCTATCCCCTTGTACATTCCAAATAGTGTATTTATATCAATGCAGCCTCAAAATACATTATTTTTAAAACAGCCCCATTATACTGTTAAATGCTAGGAGTATGAAGGCATGGTTTTTAATATGATGGGTTAAGAGAACGTGGAAGAAGTTTTACAACATACCTACATATGTAGTGCATTCTATCAAAGTAGACAGAATGCTAAAATGATTAGGGTAGTAAAAACATAAATTGTGAAGTTTGAATTTCTTTGTGAATTTTTGTATACAAATTGGTGTTAAGGTGACTCACATAAAGGACCTAAGACATGGTGACAATCTGTCTTTCACCCAGTGCTAGTTCTCCTTTCCTAGGCATACAAGCTGTTTCAGAAACTCACCAGCAAAGTCCTATAGTCAGAAGACCTGAATTTCAGTCAAGTTCACTGAAGCCCTGAAGATCAACTCATACTTTGGAATTATTCTCTATAAATTGGAGATAATAAACTTTGCCGACTTGTGATTATGAAATTAGAGAGTGTCAGGGACAATGCTGTGTGGAATCTAAAGCTCAATGCAGACAAACACGCCCCATGCAAGAGGAAGAGCAGGGACAGCTACAATGGTGTTCTTACGGTTACGGGCAGGGGAAAAGTTCTCTATTTGGTAACATTGCTGACCATTACCTAGCGCAGGTCTTGAGAGACGTTTGTTCTTTTTCTGACTTTACATATACACTAAAAGCCTGGTAATAAGGTCAAAATTACTCCACATAATTACAGGATTTTGTTTTCTGCCTTTTAAATGGTCCATTTGTTGGGGCGCCTGGGTGGCGCAGTCGGTTAAGCGTCCGACTTCAGCCAGGTCACGATCTCGCGGTCTGTGAGTTCGAGCCCCGCGTCGGGCTCTGGGCTGATGGCTCAGAGCCTGGAGCCTGTTTCCGATTCTGTGTCTCCCTCTCTCTCTGCCCCTTCCCCGTTCATGCTCTGTCTCTCTCTGTCCCAAAAATAAATAAACGTTGAAAAAAAAAATTTTTAAATGATCCATTTGCATACCAGAAGAAGCTTGATCATTGATAAGAAAATAAGCCGGAAAAGAAGGAGAAGCTTTATGTCTAAACTCTCATTCATTGAGCAACCACATAAAAGTAAAGTAAGAGAAACCAACTTTTCTTCCATTCCTGAGCTAGAGATACATATGCTAATGTTCTGGCTACTCTATCAATTGAGTTTACCAACACTCAGCAGGGCCATTTTAAAGACAAGCCTCTGTGGAAACAGGAAAGAATGGGGAGGCATTTTCATAAGCATGTTGAATGTTGGCACCAGTACAATGTGTCCTTTGAATCAACCTGAGCACAAATTGACAAGGGAAGGCTTTCTGGAAGACCAGAGGAGGTGTCTGTGCCAAGCTGCAGCTCACTCAAGGCTTCTCTACTAACTTCTCAACCTGTTTATGAACAACAGAGGACTATTTTTTTTTTATGTGATAGTTTCTAAATCTGATATTTTCTATCTAACCAGGTGTAGAGATCAATGGAATCCTATTAATCCAATTGATATTTGACAGTTTTCTAGTAAAATTGAACCACATATGGAGTGCTAAAAGCATTCAGAATGATGCCTCAGTGCTGCCTAGAGGTTCAGTGGTAGCTCAGAAGACCAAAAGATAGTTTCTGCAGTCATAGTGCCAACTTAATTACAACATTATTTAGACCAGGTTTAAATAACTTAAATGAGCTTATTTATTAGCTAGAATTGTCTAGAAAAAAAAGGAAAAGTTACAGCCATAGTCCAGTTAATTTTAACACTCTCTCATCTGATTCTCTGTAGACCTTACAAGGTTGTCAGTATATGAATTACCATCCCTGTTTCCATATGTGTAATCTGAGTTCCAAAAGTATTAGACAGTTGCTTCAACACAAATGGAGTGTAAAATATATAGGTTTTCAAAAAGTGTTCTTGGAATGACTGAGTGGACTAAATGAGCAGTTAGCAATAGGCTCAGGTAGGGCTTGAGGCCAGCTCTGGGTTCCAAGTGTTTTCCCATTATACCACCATTGTTCAAATTTAAGGACTATGTAAACCATTTGCAAGGAAGGAAACTCTATTGGAATTAAATGTATTCTAATGTTATAATGGATAATATGGCTCTGGTATTAACTTTCCAACATTCCTCAGTAAGAACCTGGTGAGATCATTTCACATTTTCTTTTGTCATTAAGATTTTACATTGTCTGCTTGTTACATGCTCTTTGATTTTTGCTTCATGCCATTCTGCACTTCACTCACAGCTTCCTCTTGTCATTAGCTTTTCAGAGCAATTGCAGAGAATTCTCAGCCTTCCTTCAGCAATTGTGCCTCGTTCAGATTTTAAATTGATTTTTAGCTATTCACACTCTGACTGCTAGTGTTTCTGCCTCCACAATTCATGATACTAGAACAGAGGGACAGGCTGTTAAACATACTGACTACAGTAACCTTATTTCTGTGTTTGTCCTGTGCTACAATCCCATTTTGCATCTTTGTATTTTGTGATCCACATTTCTGTACAGGTGCTGCCTTATGGAGTGTTGGGAATGAGGGGCAGGGTGACCACACTCTACTCCTCTGGTAGGGAACACTTGGAAGAAGTCTCAGAATAAAATAGGCCTTTCCTTGAAGCATCTGATACATGCTCCTTTCTCCTTTTGCCCATAATAGGGGATGTGGGCATTCCCTACTGTGGCACGTTTTTAGGTAATTGATGTTGCCACTTCAGATTAAGATGAAATTTTGGGTGTCAGCTATGAACTGCTTCAATGGCTGTGATCAGTTAGCTCTCAGTTTACCAATTTGTGTTCCACTGAGTTGAACAGTAAAAATCCTTGGTAGTTTACCTGAAAGGCCATGAAGATGACTTATGGGCCACAGCACACAATATTTCTTTTCTGTACTTTATCTAGACAAATAAGTGCTTATAACTCTGGATTCAGGAAAGACTGTTTATTCTTCAGAACTGACATCCCATTAAAAAGAAAATAAAGTAAGCATCAGGATTAGTCCCCTAAGCTTCCGTCAACAATTTTGCCATGAATGTCTGTGTGTTTTTCCCCTGTCAGCTCCTGACACCCAAAATGCATTTTTCTATAGAAAATATCATGTTACTCTTTTTTCTCCCTTCTACATTTGCCAGTCTTCCCTGACCTCTCACAAAAATCAAGACTTACATCTTAAAAATCATAATAAAAGAATAAGAAATGAAAACTCTTGTGGAGTCAGAGTGATGGCAATACCTTTAGCAAAAACCTTGGAAAAGAGGGACCTGACACAGTCAGGCTGAGCACAATGACTTTAGGGAACCAAGGAGAAGTATGAGCTGAGGGAAAAACAAAGCTCTGTTTCACAGTGCTAAACAAATTTTACTGGAATAGGCAGCTTCTTCCTTATACTTACCAATCATATCAGCCTTTTAGTTATCACTTATGTGAAATGAAGTCAGAGAAGCAAGGATACATTTTGGTTAGTCAAGTATATATAATTCAATGTGTCTAAGTCCTAGATTGCAGGAGAAAAGAATTTGGAAAACCAAAAGGCTTGTTATAGTGGGTAGCTCACTAGCTAGGATCTGGGAGATAGAATGGCTATGACAGATCTGGATTTTATCTGGGGATTTAATACCAAATCACCTAAATTTGTTCTTTACACTGAGCAACTGAGATTGAGGACAAAGTCATTGCTCTTTTCAGGCTGTCCCTGGTGCTTGTTTTTAACTGATAGCAATTGGATAAAACTGTTTGAAATGGGAGCTTTGTTATCCCCGTTTCTGGTCCACAGCCCTAAGGGATGGTCCTATTAGATCCTGTTGGGTGATCATAAAGAGAGAACCCATCTTGTCTTTGACTCCAAGGAGAACTCAGGAAGGTAGATGGGAAGAACAGAACACTCCTTTTGTTAAGAAAGAAAATACAGATAAAGAAGATGTGGTATGTGTATGCAATGGAATATTACTCAGCCATTAAAATAGGATGAAATCTTGTCATTTGTGACAACATAGATAGACCTAGAGGGTATTATGTTAAGTAAAATAAGTCAGAGAAAAACAAATACCATATGATTTCACTAATGTGTGAAATCTCAAAACCAAAACAAATGACAAATAAGCAGGAAAACAGGAACAGACTCATAAATACAGAGAACTGGCGGTTGGCAAAGGAGAAGGGGAGGCGGGATGGGTGAACTAGGTGCAGGGACTAACAGATACAAACTTCCAGTTATAAAATGCATAAGTCGCAGAAATGAAAAGTACAGCATAGGGAATATAGCCAATAATATTGTAATAGTGCTGTAAGGTGATAGATGGTGATTATACTTACAACAGTGAGCACGGAGTAACGTATAGAATTTTTGAATTACAGTGTTATAAACCTGAAACTAATATATTAACTATACTTCAGTAATAACAAAAAATTGAAAAAAAGGGTACAGATTTTTATCAGAGCACAGGATGCTGCAAGACAGAGGCAGGTGTTCTAAGTGGCCTGGTATCAAGTGATTTAAATTTGTTTGCTGTTGTTGTTTAACTTTTATTTATTTTGAGATAGAGAAGAGAGTATGAGTCAGGCAGGGGCAGAGAGAGAGAAAATCCCAAGAGGCTCTGCACTAAAAAGTATGGAGCCTGATGCAGGGCTCATACCCACAAACTACAAGATCATGACCTGAGCTGAAATCAGACACTTCACTCACTGAGCCACCCACGCACCCTGTTTGTTGTTCTTACTGACCATTTGTATTCCAGAATTCTTATACAGTAAACATATGTTCCTTACATTATTAAAAAGAGTAGTAAATTGAAATGGGTATTTGCAGAGTGTGTCTATAATGTTGCAATACTTAGGAAAATAATTTTCTATGAGGATTACCATACAAGTCATTCTGATGTCATAAGTCACTCTTACTGCTGTTAAGAGCCTAAAATCTGAGTTTGAAATTGGCTATGTTTTTCTTCAGGAATTTCATAAATACTGACCACTACCATGTGGCAGATATTTGTGTGAGCCCTGTATATATGATGAACAGGCACAGTCCTCAGTGAACTTAAAGGAGCTAAAACTGGCAGGCATCACTCAGTTTCCTCTCTTGCAACATGGAAATAACCACATTTCAGTAGGTCATTGTGAAGATTAAATTATTTAACATATGTGAATTCTCCAAGGGCAGAGCAACTATTCAATTAAATGTAGGATCTGAGAGTGTTTGAAAGAAAAGATGAGCTATTAGAATTTCAGGAGATAAATATTAGCTCACTAATAAAAGACATCTGGTATGAAACCCATGTATCTATGTTACTTATTATGAGTTTATGAGAAAACACAGTAACTTGTTCAAATATAAGCTGTTGAATTTAGCTCCTATTTTGATTTACCTTTCCCACAGACCTATTGGTACAAAATATCCAAGTGATAGAATGCCGTTAATACTCACTTCTTATCACCTGAGGGGCAAGTCAGTTTCTAGACATCCCAACTCTTCATGGTTCTACCTAGAAGATCAGATAGATGTCTTGGGAAAATTAACAAACTATTTCACTAATGTCTTTCTCATGGTTTTAGCCACAGGCTCCTTTTTCATGGCAGCCTTTACAAAGAGCCATGCGAATAGCAAGCCATGTAGAAATGAATGAGAAAATGAAGACATTTAAAAAAGAAAGTCCATGAAAGGTGGCTATAAAAAAAGGAGGTTCAGATTTCCTTTTGCGGAAAACACATTTTAATTTCCCCCAGTCACTAAATTAAGTCATTCTACCCTGGAAAATGTTGTACCATTTTTCCCTCTGAAAGCTCCTTAAAAAAATAAAACAATCTTTTTAAAAAATCATTTTTCTTAAACTGACTCAGATAAATTCACTATCCAAACCCTCTTTTTCTGCATCTCCTCTCCACACTAGGTTCCCTGGGGCAGAGAGTTGTTTCCCAGAGTACCCAGGAAGCTCTGCCAGGTTCTCAGCAGCCATTGGGCTTCCGTGCACAGCAGAAGCCTCTTGTGTAAAATGAGTGCTTCCTTTCCAGCGGTCACAAAGCCTTTAGTACCCAGCCATGCACTGAGTAAGAATTGTGGCCGGCAGCTGAGCAGTGGAGTGTGGTACAGAGAAAGTGGACTAGGGGTTTTAGGTCA